GTCTATTTTCTATTCTTTATTCCATTTCTTTGTCCTTTTCAATGCAGGGATGTGGAGGGCTAGACTTTCTGTTAATCAACTAATAAGCAGCAGGCACGAAGCCACAGGCCATTGCTTAGTCATGCCCAGTCTATCTAATCATGACTCAGGGGATTTGTGCTATGAGAACAGTTTGAGGGCGAGAAAAACTGACCCAGGCTTTTTGACGTAAGCAGTCTGGTGCTGGTAACCAACAGGCCACGATGGGCAGCACATAAGAAGTGCCTCAGCTAGAAAAGTCTAACTCAACCATCGAGCTGTGAGTTGAAGAAAAGTGGATGGGGAGTGGTGCTCGCGATGCCCTTCGATATGGGCAGCCAACCATTGAATATGCTCATCCTACTTGGCTGAGCCCTCCATCTAAATCTCTGTGTGGCACTGCAGAGATAACCGGCTAGACCTAGAGCCCCGATAGAAGGGAAAGCCTGTGTGAAAATAAACCGCCATCCCTACCAGTAATCTAGCATTTTGTTATTTATAGATAAGAGGCAACCCTAAGAGTATAAGCAAGTTTAAGGGCAGACGAAAATGTATAACCCGGCGATGGAAGCTACATTTCTTTGAAATGTTATACATTTCTTTTGACTTATTTAGCATTGAGCTTAGAACGTTTTTACTCCTTATATTAATATATTATGTTATTATTATTTACCATGGTCTGGATTGATCCCCGATTCAAGTCAGATGTTTAATTTATGATAATGGACCTCGCATTATACATTATTTATTGAATATATGTTTCCGCCTGATATGTTGCTGACATTTTAACCTCCTAGCCTTCTTCTGCCCTCTTTTTTCTCTTCACTAGTTTATATCCCGTAAAAAGCTCAATGCATCTTGTTTTTGTAATTGCATGTAACATTATGAACGTTTGGAAATACTACATTTCCTGTAATTTAATTAACTTGTATTAAACAAATATAGCAGAGAAAAAATAACAAACATATGCAGATGTTGAAGGACCTCTCAGTCATTATTACGACGTTAATTAATGAGCATCTGAGAAGAAAGAGCCATTGCTCGAGGATTAGGATTTGCCAAATGTGTTTTTCTGTGAAAAGTACAGTATAACACAGCCTGTTGTAATGAGGGATTAGACCAAGGTCACTGCGGCTGAAAGATGCGAGCCCACCAGGAACAACTGTGTCCCGTTTAACGAGATTTCTATGCTTTCTTTGTCGTGCCTGTAGTAGTGAGTCATCAGTGTGCTTACACATTAAAATTTGAAGGCAAAACTAAACAATGACAATGTGTTAGCACTTGACACGTGTGGAAGGTTTTTCTTACGTATTGGAAATATTTTTCTTTCCTCTGTATTTGAGGTGGCTGTCCTTATCTCTCTTTCACAGACCTGTTTTTTTATTTTTTTGCACACAGAACATCAGAGGATGCTGCACTCTTTCGGCAATAGAGCATGCCCTGCCATGGCCTTTGTCCGCACAGATCAGCGGGAGACCATGTGCTGCATACTGTAGATGAACAACTCCGAAGACTCACCTGCTGTTCCCAAGGTTTATCTGCCTCAAAGCAGTTCCTCAGATAAATAAAGATAATTCCCGGACCACTTAAAACCCACTGCCAAAACCAAATATAGCATATGGGTTACCATGTTTGCCACCCCTGGGGAGAGGAGCTAATGCATGGATTTGTTTATTCCCGTTGCTGCAAGGACATCAAAGACTTGCTGCGGGATAGCGCATGGAGTTGTATGAAGGCTAGAAAATAAGGCATCTGGTGATTTTGCTGTTGTCATTGTTGTTTTCATGCATTGTGCATTGGGGATTGTCTCCATGACAAGCTTTAATCCAATAAACATTGTGATGTGCTCTCTTTGCAGCATGTCATTTAATAACGCCTGCCTTTTTCCTGTGAGCAGCCCCGCGCCATCTTTGGTCTTATTAAGAATGATTAATGCTTGTTTTTGGAAATAGTGCCGCGATGAAACCTATTAACTGTTACTGAAGCGTACAGCCATATACCCCAGTCACTAAGTCTTAGTTACGTGCTGCTTTAAAAACAGAATCTATACCAAAACATGTATCCTCTTAAAAAATAATAATATATCATCTGTTTTATCGTGTTGTTCGTTGAAATAAAAGCTATTCTACCTGAGTGACTTTTTACTTTAGTGCACTTTGCAAAGCCACAACGCATAAAGACAATAACCTCTTTGCAGTTTTGTTCGATTTTGCTGTCGCACGCCAAATGCAGGATTTTGGAGAGCAGGTGTGCATGGGTTGGTGCATTTGAGTCAGTAACAGTGATTTATAATGTGCAGTGGTTCAGTGCACACTGGCTGGTCTCCTGAGCCTGTTGGCTGCCCTTTCACCACAACCAGCAGTCCTTACTGGGGAGATGGATGCTTCCTTCTGATGCCGACTAAACAAATGTCCCTCCTCGCCTTCAATCTTCATCTCAGGTTCAGTATGTTTTTTTTTATGTCAATTTATTGAACATGTCAGAAACAAAACATACATCAATACTAATAATAATATATATTGCTTCTTCCTTTTCTTCCTTCTCACTCATAATAATAATAATTATACCAAAGTACAATAAAATAAATAATAATGATAATGCAAAAAAAAAAAAAAAATAAAAAGAAACAACAACAATAAATCTTAAATTAGTCTCTGTCGTGTTCAACAGGGGCAAGAAGAAGCTTAAAAAACTTTTCTGGTCCTACCCCTTCTAGCGTACATTTTCCTTGCAGTATAAATGAAGTAATTAGGTCATCAGCGACATGTTTGTCTTGATACTTTTTTACAAAAACAATCAGGAAGTAATTACTTTTACAATTACAGGAAATAACAAAAAGAATTTTTACAGGTACTGTTCATAACCACTAATGGTTTGGCTCTTGAATAATACTTTCATTTTATATAAAGTTGTACAATTTTTCAGAGTATGTGCACCTCATTAGCAACCCAAGTTTAATCATGTCCGGTAAAAATCCACGAATAACGAGGGAAGTGTGTATTTTCCCGGGAAAAGACATGTGTTCCTCTTAAAAAAACGCACCAATGAAAATTCCTCATCATTGTGCAATTCATATTATAATTCGTCTCAGTTACCTGTCACATTTCACCATCATGTTTAAGTTCAATCCACATATTGAACTTAAATCATAATGGCAGGATGATTTAGAAAACCCTAACATTAAACAGCAGTGAGGAAGAATGCTCTTCAGACAAAGGAAAAATACAGAAGCTATAAATAATAAAACAAAGCATGTCTGTACAGTCATTTTTTTTGCGATGCAGTATATGAATGCTCCCCCTATTGAACACCCACGTACTGTAGAGACCTCTCCAGTCACCTTGAGCAAATATTTATATATACAATGAGCATTGAGCACATTAAGTGCTTTTCCCATTGTGACCTTGTGACCAGCAATAGTATATCTCCTTTCAGCTTAATTTGTTGGATGTCAGAACTGCAGTCCAAACCGACAATAACAACCTGATAATAAGCCAACACACTCTCACACACTGAGGCTGCGGGTAATAGCCTTTGCAAATAAGAGCATCATGAAAAACAAATTATGCTCATCATTATGAAATACATTGTCTTACCTTCTACTTCTTTCTGGACAGCTGCAGGAGAATCAAAACAACAGACATGTTTAATGATGTTTTGCTAAACCTTGCTGCCTCCATCCATGCATGAAGACAGACATGAGAATCAGCCAGAGCCTGACAGTTTGGTCCTTTGTTCGACCATTAGAAAGTATAAGTGGTATTTGATCTGATATATAATCACAGATAGTCACAGTCCAGTGGCAGATTGATGTCTTTCAACAGTCGGAAAGCAAATGATTGTACTTAACCTACATACTTAATAGGTTGTGATTAAATACTGTATTTGTGGTTAATATAATGATGTAGTTAGTTGTAGAGTTTGGTAATAAGGTGCTCTAATACATGCAACAAAAAGGTATGCAGTTTGCTTGTCTATTTTTATAAATCATGCAAGGATCCTCCTTTGCCTTTTGCACCTCCTGTGACCCCTGACCTTGTCAAAAACAACTGCAGAATTACCAAGATAAACGTGTATTATTATAAGAGGTCAACTTTAAGTATTTTGGCCAAGAGGAAAACATCTTTGACAAATCACTCATTTCCATTTTTCTCATGTATATGCAAGTTCCAAAGATTATTTTTAAATGCTAATTTACTGTCCTTACCCTTTTGTAGACCTTTAAGAATAAAAAAAAACTGCGCCCATTTTGTGGCCTGTTAAATGCATCTCTATTGAAGACATGCAAACATTTCACACATTAGGAAGCTTTTATCCTCTTTGACTTGTGAAGATAATTGCTGAGAGCCGGACTCGCACATCCAAGCAGCCTTTAAGTACTGCTGCGGTACACTTTGACCTGGATTGCTTTAAAGTGGGATTTATTGATTATTTTCCAGAGCCTAATGAGTGTTTAGACCCAACAGTATACTTAGAAGGTGATGTTAATAAGGGATTTAACCATTTGAAAGCTATGCTTATCATAAGGCCAAAGGTTTTCAGTTGCAAAAGTACATGTTCAAAAGAAGCCTTTTGATGGTCACATCATGAAGGGAAGCAGTAGGAAATTGTTTATCACAATGTTATGGATGTGCTTTTCAAAGAACATCCATAACATTCATCTGTTTAAAACCTATATATATCAATATTCCAATTACTTGTAGACTATTCTGTTTTATTGTGTTGCACTGTTGGAGGAGCCTGTGACCTAAGCTTTTCATTGTCATAACTACACTGTAGCTATGTACAAATGACAATAAAAGCCTTGAATAAAAAAAAAAAATGTGCAGAAGTTGATCAAATCAGAAGAAAATGTAATAATGTGGTTAATATTCATAAAAAACCACACATTACATGTCTGTCCCCAGATCAAACAACACAAAATACTAATAAACTCATGCTTAAAATGTATTCTAATACAAAAATAAGGATATTCTTCTTACCTTCATGGCAGTACCTTCCCCTGTAGCTGGTGTTGATACAGTCACAGAGGACCTCTCCTTGGCTGACGGAGCACACACCTTTGTTGCATGGAGAGTGTATGGCACATATGTACTCCAAATCACTATGGACAGCTTGGCCATCCAGAAGTAACGGTAGCGCCTCCCCTAGTTTCAGATTGGCTATAAGGCCGTGGAATGGTGGCTCGTACTTAACCGTGCTGGACGTCAGCGCGGACAGACGTACATCGGGGGAGATCCCCCCTACGTACAGGTCGCTGGCCACCACCATCTCTTTTCTCTTGGACTTCACCTCAGCCACTTTCTCCTCGTTGTCCACCACCAGCCGTGTCTCTCTGTGGTTACGGGAGAGGAGGACTCTGTGCCAGCGCAGGTCGTTGATTCTCGTCTCGGTGTGCAGGGAGGCCGGCTCGGCACAATGGATGGTGAAGCGCATGTGGACCCTCCCGTCTGCGATGAGAAGCTCCAGGAAGTCGCAGTTCCCGCCATCATCCAGATAGAGAACGAGGGCTTTGCTGATGTTGGTTTTGAGGATAAAGCTCAGCTCACCTGTCGCCTTGGCATCCCACTGGCCATAGCGGGTCCACTGCCCAGGAACACCCTCATACTCCAAAGCTTTAGCTGTTAGCACCAACCCGGCTAACAACAGTAACCAGGAAGCCTCGTCTCTACACCTGCCCATTGTGGTTACTATCTACACCTACTGGCTCCCCTGTGGTCTATAATTCATACAAAATCCAACAGAGCTGTGAGAAGATAACGTTATCTAGAGTTTACACTTCTTAGTTAATGACCAAAAAAACTTCGCAGATACAAGAGTGCAAATCCCACATGCAGTGAATGTGTTTCTTTAGCCTTGACTGTCTATCTTGATTTTTTTTGCCATCTCTCCATGGGGGACACGTGACAGAGTGAACAAATGAGGCACATCTGAGAACACTTTGCATCTACTTTGGATCGGCAGAGAAAGAGAACCAACAACACAAGTGATCCACAAAACAGTGTGCTTCCTCGTCGTCGCCATCCAGTGTCTTGGCCTCCATCCAGCACTGTTCCTGTCAGTTCTCCATGGGTTAGCTAGGCACACAGCTTAGGTACAGCTTCCATTCTGCTCAGCCTCCCAACATCCTAAGACATGAAAGAAGAATGTGTTATGAAGAGCTGGAGGGATACCAACAGATGATTCTACAAAAAGAAAGATAAATATTCTACAGTCATTATAAAAGACATGGAAGTGAACTAGAAAATGTGACAAATAGTTAAAGGTGGGGTAGGTAAGTTTGAGAAACCGGCTCGAGATACACTTTTTGTTATATTCCATGGAATGCTCTTAACATCCCGATAGCAATGAATATCTTAAGTGCTTTGACAAAAAATCCATAAAGAAATGTCATCTGTGGAAGCCGTAGTACTGTAAAAAGCACGACCAATCATTTTAGCCGGCCCGGCTAAAATAACTGGATGGCCTACCTGCCTGTCAGCCTTCCATCTGTGCACAAACTTATCTCGTGCCCTCATTGGTCATGTGCGCGTTCGTGTGTGTTGGAGGAGGGGCTCTGTAAGGAAGTGGCAGATTTTTTCCGGCTGTGTATTTTCAAATTCTAGCGATCTCGAGCTGGTTTCTCCAAAATTACCTACCCCACCTTTAAAATGGTGAAGAGGGAAATATGGTAGGGTTTTATTAGCAGCGGTTCTAATTTAGATTGCATTAAGATGGCAGCTACAGCCTATGGAGTCCAGAAACATGGTCTCAACACGATGCCCAAGCCGAGAAACATCTCAATCCTGGCGCCCCACCTCATGTCTTAGCATCCACGCAGAAAAGGGAAACAGAGGGATTTCCAAAAGCTGGTGGAACACCTTCTGATTCGTAAGCACCCCCACATATGTTTTGGTTCAGTCCATGGCCTCACTAACTTCAGTGATGTTGAGCCCCTTAAGCCCACTGCGCTTCCTGGGATCAAGCTAAGACATTACAGCTAAACAACACATGCAGGCCAGAGGCTGGGGGCGATAAAAAGGAAGAGGTCTGTGTTAGAAACAAACCAACCGAACAACAAACCAACACCACATTCAATACTTTATAACAAAAGATGGTGCGCCTCACAGACCTCAGGACACAAACAAAATGGGAACCTCCCCTGGCTCATTGTTACCATTTATAAAGACTAAAATCTACAGCCGGTGACCGACCGTGTAGTTTAACACAACCTATTCCAGGAGACATCATTTATATTCAACGGATGATGGTGGCATTTATTTGATCTTTTCACTATTAACAACAATTTCCCTAAAGAGAGCAGAGCCAATAATGAATTTGCTATACAGACAAGTGCTGTCTATGTAGCCAGAGACTGTTACAGCTCGTGCCTCCGTGCCAAAGAACTCCACTGCTGTCCAAAACCCATTAAAAAAACATAAAAGAGCTATACCGTTGTGTGATCCAATTAAGTGATCAAAAACAAAATCAGCAGCTGTAATCTGTTACAACCAATTTGCACGAAAGAGTGGACCAACACTGTCGTTCTCAAGGATGCCTCGATACTATCTGTCTCCTCTTCGTTAGGTCAAGTTTAAAGCTTTTTCATTCTGAATGATTTATTTCCAAGAAAGGCACGAGTGCTTTTCCTAGTTCTTTTTATATTTATTTAATTTGATTTATTTATTAAAATGTATATTTTTGTGTATATTTTAATTATTAATTTTTTTTCGGGAAAAATGAAAACAGTTAGCATGTTGAAATCCTAAATGTAGGGTATTCAAACGTGTGACTGTTTATACAAAGAGCACATCTATGGGATACAAAAGATCTAACGGGTTGCTTTTGCATGATTCTTTTTGGTGAAACGTCAACAAATTGTAAGTCGACTTACAATTTACTTAGTTGTGAATAAAGCCAACCATATTCCAAGCCACACATTACACATCTGATCAAACTCACAACATGTTTGATTGAGAATGCAGTGTGTATACATTGAATGTTGAGCTTTCTGCTCTTGACATTCACAAAGTCATCCTCATCAAAGAGAAAAGGAAATACAGATACTGTTGCGGTTTACATAAGAGGTTGATCCACTCTGATTCAATCCATATGTATACAATAAATACAAATTACCTCTAAATACTATATCAAGAAAAAGCTCTGGGGTTTGCATTGAACCATAAAAAGAGCTAATTTGTCTAAAAGCAATAAATATGTTTTATGGTACGTTACACCATGCTCTCTTTCATTTATAGGCCTTTCTCAACTAGCAGCAGAAGTATTTCATGCAAGTTTAATCTCTGCCACAGAGATATAAAATACGAGTTTGAGTCTGCAGGGAATTACAGCCTCGATTGGGCCTCCTGCTGATGAGGGACTGCCACAGCCGGGTTTCTTTTGCTAAAACTAGATGTCGCAACAGAGAGTGCATCAAAGCAAATAAATCAAAGTTTCTCCTCAAAGTATCAGAAGGCTCCAGGCTGGGAGAAAACCCTTCTGATAGACAGGTTTATCATGGGAATTGCTGTATCCTGGAAGGTCATAAAAAACTGACACCCTCTTCATAGGATGAATTGCAATTTGCCAGGGTCAGGTACGGTGCGTGAAATGAATCTCAGAACCTGTCGCAGTTGTATATACAGTACGTGCCTGAGTTCAGCTCGCTTTGAGTCAGACAAACAACACATTAGTATGATTATATGTAAAAAGACAAGGAGGCATGTGGTGCTTTATGCTTCATAACCTCGCCACATGATGAACTATTTTTGCAGCAACTCCCATTGAGACGCTCATTAAGAGTAACTTGGGCTCATAATTTTACCATTATGTGGGAGCAGATATATCCACATGGGTGATGATGATGAATAATAGTTATAATATGTGAGGAATACATAAACATAAAACAGAGATACAGTATGGCCTACCATATCTATAGACACTGATGTTGCCTCGCTGGAAAGCATAAGGTCAAGTTTATTTCAGTCGCAATGAGCTGACATCACATGAAACAGGCCCTACTTTAGTACAATTATTATTATTACATGTTACTTGTTAGACGCGTTTATCCAAAGCGACTTACATACTCAATACTGTGGACAATCCCCACAGGAGCAATTTGGGGTGAAGTGTTTTGCCCAGGGACACAACTACACGCTGACTGCAGTGGGGTTTGAACACCAACGCACAACCCACTGCGCCACACGCCTCCCTAAAAACTCACAAAATATATTATATCCAACGCTAACATTTCTGTTAACATAGCCACAAGACTGGCATGGAGTCAGCAAATGTACATTTTAAATAATGCAGAGCCTACAACTTGGATTTGTTTCGAATCGGAAATAAATAAGATCTAATTACCAAACAAGGGAAAGCGTGGATGACCAGAAGCCTCAACAACTGATTGAATCTACTTGCAGTGATTTGTTTGTGCCATTTATTCCTCTGTATCCGTTTTGTTTTTTTATCTTTGAAATCCCCCATGTTTCCGGTAGGCATCACCCACTCATGTTTATTTTTCTTTCTTTTCTTACATCAATTTCTGTAGCACTCAGAATATCTCAGGGACTATTAGGCTAACACACACAGGGCAGATGAAACATACAAAGGCCTGTTTTCCAAAGGGGCTTTTGAGATGCTGCTGTATAGTCTGGCACTGTTATTTCCCTGCACTTGTTAAAAAACCGTGAACCTGATTCTGCAAACATCTCGAGTTTAAACCCTATACTAACATTCAGACTCTTATAGAAAATCCATCTCGCAGTAACCCTGTTATGACATGTAGCAGAATAGGAAGAAAAAAAGTGAACTTTCTCGAACCTTTCAATGTTTTTCTGGCTTAAACTTATGTCTGTCAGAGTCATTGACTAATATGTATAATGTGAGGCTTGTGAAAAATCACAAATAAGAATCTCCATATTTATACACAGCATTGCTCACCCTACTGAATCAATGGTACTTACGTATAATACTGACTCCTAAAGTAAATAAATAATATCAATCTAATAAAGTATATAGTAGAGAGCGGTTGGTGTGTGTGGCCCGGGGTCAGCTGCTATGCACATAGGACTACAATTTAAAAGCGTCTCCTCTACATTTAAAGGCTTCTCGCACTGAGCACTTTCTTCATTAAAATCAACAGGCCAATTACCTATCATGGTCAAAATGTGGTGGGGGAACCAGTGGTGGCCAATTAACCTCATTTCAATGGGCGCCCTGTTCTAACCCAGCCACTCCCCTGATACACACTGCGGCGTATCCTCCGCCACTAAAAAAGACCTGGCCTTTTTGTTGGCAATTTCTGCAGAATAGTGCAGTGGATTTTTGACCTGCCAATTTTTCTACTGCTTTATCTGAGATAATACCTTAAAATTGGCTCTCTACCGAGTACAGCAATTTGTATCGGCATAACACCCCACTGCGCCACAATTCATACTGTATGAATGTGAATAATTGCACACATGGACAAACAGTCTTACATCTGTAAACCGTACCATAGTTAAATGCTTTTGTACCGAGTGCAACACCACCATACACTCTTGATAAAAAACCTCACCATTGCTCACTCTACTATTCAAGGTATATATTTATCATATACAGGATGTTTTATTGTTTTTTTTTATTGTAAAATGACATGCTCAATGTTTTAAAAATAAATAAATCCATATTAGAAACAATGCAATATGGTTATCATCTCTTTC